TAACTTTATTGGAATAAGTATATATGTTTCTTTTGCCGCAGAATAAAGTGAACATGAATGAATCAAAAAGAGACAAAACACCTGATAACGAAATATTGGTAACCGAGCATCAATTAATGGTGGAGGCTGATGATGGTGAAGAAAAAAAGACTTTAACAAGGCTGGTGATTTTAAAGAAGACACAGCCATAGATTAAACCATTCCTTGTGTAAGCATTTATAACAATTGTAGTTTGATTAACACGGGTTAAAACGCACTGCGTCTTTCAGGAGTTTGTGCGGACAATAGCATTGACCCCTCTATCGTATTAGGTTTTGCACAGACAAGAAAACTCGGAGAACAAACTTCGAATATTCGAATCAAGGAAWAGATCTAACAAACTATATTCACATATGATGCCGAGTCTGGGAGTCGACCCCAAGACTCCAGAGGGCAGAGGCGTATGCACTATCACTACACTACCCTTGATTTACTAATGTTTGTGATGCTACGTCAATAAATCATTTCCTAGACCCAAGAGGGGAGAGGCGAGTGTACCACCAGTATCCTTGATTCCAAAATCCGCAAAAAATGCATCGAGCCCTTGTCCGCACTGTTTTGCTCCCAGAAATCGATCAATAGCAATTACAAAGACGATAAAAATAATGACTTTGATAGAATATTTTTGTTTGCTTGTTTTGGGGTTTTTTTGTTGTTGTTTTTTTAGTTTGTTTTGTTTTGTTTTGTTTGTTTTGGTTGGGTTGGGTTGGGTTGGGTTGGGTTTTGATAATTAAATATATAATTGTACAGCTTCTTATTAATGCCATAACGGGAAGTGTCCAATTATTTTCTTAATTGGACAGGTCTTGTTGATATGGGATTAATTAGGCAGCTATATAATTAATAGGTAATGGGATTTCGCATGCTCCCCAATCAAGAAATAATTAGACTCGAAAAATTCCTCTGACTGCCAAATTAAGCCGTTGTGCATGGAGTCAATTGCATCTGACGAAGATAGCTTGGTGATTTGTTGAAGGTAATTAGGAAACAAAGCTGAGAAACGGCTTCCACTTATTACAACAAAAACGTAATTCATCTCCAAACTTTTCAATTTTGTAAATAGACTTGATATATATATGAAAATAGTCGAGTGAAGGTTGAGTTTTATTACTCTTACAAAGCCAAATATAATAACTCGCTACGAGGAAAAGGAAATTTAATGCCATGTTTTGAACAGTCGGGTCTCAAGCCACGTACAGTTTCAATTTTAAGATTTTCGTTTCTCAAAGTTACGYCCATTCCGTTTAGCTCACGTTTTAGATTGGCCAAGAAAGAAGACGTTATTTTGCAYGACCAGAAAAGATGAAGGATACTTTCAGATGCTCTTTCACAAAAGCTACATCTGTCGTTATCAGCTATTTTTATGAAAAAACTCTTAGTTGCAATTCTTCTATGTAGGAATTTAAACTGAAAATTAATGATTTTTAAGCTTGTGCGGCACTAGAATGGGAGTAGGTATGCCTTTTCCCAATTATAGACATCAAGATAGGGGCAATCCCTGCTCCATTTATTTTGACTTTTATGTGGTATTGATATCTTTTGTTTACCAGGTGTTTTTGACTTCAGAAATTGTTCCTTGAAACTATCACAAGCTTTTGAGAGAGTAATCGTTGAATCTGAGTTTTTTTAAGAATAGAATAAACACCGAAGAARAGAAAGGAAAGATTCGCTTTCTGGAAGTTGGAATTTCTGGGAGAATTTCAAGAAAGGCAGAACAGAACCATTWTCGTCTAGCAAGTCTTTAACGTTGACAAAATGTATACTTTTATGGCAAAATGTTGGAAAGTTCGTGACCATTTTGAGAAATTAAAGCGCGCATAGAGTCAGTGGGGGAGCAAATTTAAAGAAAGCGAGAGTGGCGTTTCCGTCAGWATTATTCAATTGGTAGTTTTTAATAGATATTAATGAATAATTAAAACTGCCTTTACTTTCATTTTCACTTGTCTCTTATTAATCAAAAAAATCGAGAGTGGGGCTGGTGCACTGTCTTGAGAAGCAATGTATGTCGCCTAAACAAGACACCCTATAGGCGTTCACTGGGTCGCCTGTATACGTAAGGGTCATTTGCAGGTTAGAAAATATCTGTAATAAATTGACTTATTTCAAACCTGAATAAATGCGTTATTCCAATAGACTGAAGTAATAATGACGGGTTCAACCTTAGTCAATTCTGCCCACGATAGGAAGCTGTTGAGTATAAAAAGTGGATGTGGTTTTGGGAATACATTGAGGATTTAAATTAGTGGAAATATGCTCAAAACCTCCTCATGATTTTATGAACACTGATGGTATTAAAGTAGAGAAATTATTTTTATTAGAAGAGCTTTTTAGATTTACCACTCTTTTTATATTTGTACCCCGACCTACTGGGGGAAGAATTGTTGCGTTGCCATTGTTAATGATGCAACTATGGTTGTAATGTAGATTTTTAATAGACCCTTTTCGAGTTCCAAATTACCGCTGTGTTTCTTGATTACACACGCATTTACTCAGGCTTAGCCTCGATCTTGTGAAGAATATTCACGTGTTCCAGTCAAGGTCCTTTAAGTTTCAAAGTGTTCGTATTGATGAAGTTGTGCATTCTTTACTTTACCGTTGGTATTTATGAATATTTAGACACTGATTCGAGGCTAAGCATGAGTAAATGAGTCTGTAATTAAGAAACACAGCGGTAACTTGGAACTCGAAAAGGGTCTATTAAAATATAAATTTGAAAAAGAACGATAATGAAGTGTCGGGAGGCTCTATTGCATTCGGTTTATCCAAGTTTACAAAAATCACTTGAAAACTCGGGGTTATCAAATATTTGAAAATGTAATATTAAATAGAGGCACAAAGAAACGGAAGAAACTATTTATTGTAGTTGTTTTGACGTCAATACGAAGAACAACTTGTCTTGCTACAATTATAGTGCAAGAGTGCTACAATGAGTGTAATGAGAAAAATCATTCAAGGTAGAGTGACCTTGCTACGCGCGCTTTTGTTGGTCGAAAACTGTGCCATATTAGCAGTTATTGTATAGTCATGATAGTACGTGCGCGTCGAATGGTCGAAAACTGTGCTTTAATTATAATAGTGAACGGATTACAGTGCTGGCGACATCCGCGCGCTCAAAGTGCTGCTAGATCCTGCGACCTTCTTTCTTTTTGCGTAAATAGTACCGAAATAATGCAGTTATAAAGCACYTAGGAAGCGCCGTAACCACKCAAAAAGTGTGAGAAGCGATCGCCTACGGCTACAGATACTATATGGTTAGTGCTTAMTTCACTTCCTGCGTGCTTTATTACTGAACAGAGCACGGAAAAAGCTGTTTTATTTGTTAAAGGGAGCAAGATGTTTACGTTTACACATGGAGCCTGCTTTGGAAATATCGACACAGTAAATCGGATAGGGCGGTTTAAGCCCCAAAAATGGGGCCAAAATTTTGACCCTATAGTGGCCTCCTTAAAGTAGAGCTATTTTTAGGCCTAGTTGAGGGGGCCAAAACAGTACTGATAGACCCATACCAAAATGGTTTCTGTGGGGCCAAAATGGCATTTTGTTCTAGTTTGGTACTAGCCTGGGCTAAAATAGTACTACTTGAAAAAGCCAAAATGGCTCTCTGGGGCCAAATTGGTCCTCTCAAATTTACTGTACAGTGCTTAATAGAAACTGAACCCCGTTTGTCGCCTAATGCTCGTGCTTCTCTTTACAACACACTCAAAAAGTGTGTCACCTAATGCCTCTGCTTCTCTTTATACCTCTTATGTGCACTCGCCACTGCTGTATTACTGAAAGGATCACGCGATTATATTTCTAAAGTAAACAAAAGGCTGCATAAAATATCTTAAAAGGAAGCTATTAAAGCTCATCAGCAGCATTATAAGTCGTGATTAATGATTAATACGCCGTTTATTGTGCATTGCCACATTACCACTGGGCACAATTTACTGTGAGGTTGTGATAAGAAAGCTTCTAAAAGAAAAGTAGCACTGCTAATTAACATCATTTTTCTATTAATCATGGAGACCAACTTGTCGATTCTTAACCTGGAAAATAAGAATTTAATAAGAATAAATATGATGTACATTTTTGATATTACAAATTCCAAAATCGATGTTTAACGTTTTAAATTTAACACTCTACATTTCTTACAACAACAACAGCAACAACAAAAAAGGATATCGAAGGATATGTTCAAGACTTAGTGGTGGTACTCAAGTCAGCTAATTACAGCCTGCGATCAAATAATTCTTTGATGCTAAAGGTTCCTGCAATCAAATCTAAAGTTACGCTGGGTGATCGTTCATTTGCTGTGGCAGCTCCCAAACTTTGGAGCACTCTTCAAAGAGATCGGCGACGTTAACAGTCTGTTAAGACATTTAAGTGTAAACTAGAGACTTATCTATTTAAATTAGCATATGGAAAATAGTTTTCGTTATTTTAATATTTCAAGCTTTGAACACCCTTCTGAGAGACCTTGAGTCATTTACAATCTAAAGGCTCATCTATTTATATTATCATACGAAAAATAGTTTTTATTATTTTAATATATAGCACTCTTTCTTTTATTCTTTTTTTTTTTTTTTTTTTTTTTTTTTTTTTTTTTTTTT